ACTAGTGTTATTAGTCTTTCTAAATATACTGTGCATCATTCTAGGGCAAAGCATATTAACATCAAGCATCATTTTATTCGATACCATGTTGAAAACGGTGATTTTTCGTTAGAGTTTGTTGATTCTTAAAATCAATTGGCTGACATTTTTACAAAACCCTTGATAGAAGAAAGATTTTGTTTTCTCAGAAATTGTCTTGGTATTACGTGCTTTAATTAAGATGATTTATTTTCCTTTTATGCGTTTAATGTTCCTTTTGTCTTTTCATATTTTCTACCTATAATTATTACTTGCTCCGCCCTTTCCTCTTCTCCATAAAAGTCCCATCTTTTCTTTTCCTATCTGTCTTTTCCCTTTTCATTTCAAACTCTTCTCCTTCCTTCTTTCTCTTTATCTACCCTCTTCTCTTTATTTCTTTTCCTCATTCGACCATGACCAGAACTCGATCCATGGCTTCTCTCCCAAACCCCTCTCCTACCTGTTCATTTGAAGTTGATGTCTTGTCCCTCTCCTCAAACTCGTCTAAGGAATCGTTGGGCTCTCCTTCCCCCTACTCCAAGAAGAGAGCCTCTTCCGCCAAAAAGAAGGCCCTAAAGAAACCGTGCCCAAACGCTTCAAGATATCTTTCTCCCGAGGAAATGCAACACTTTTGGGGAGTCAAGCAGAAGAACATGTATAACGCTTTCAAATCTCGATCGATCGTCCCCGGCCGTGTCATCAATATCAATCAACTAAGGGACTCATACTGTCCGGTAAGTTCATTTCTCTAGGCTCAAAAATTATCCTTGTTGTTCAGTCTGTGCTATCTTGAATTTTTTGAATAAGTTGTTCGTCTCTTCTATGCAAACCTCCGTATTCCCCTGACAGTTGTGAGATGGAAACCCTGGTAATGGGGAGTCCTATCAGTATTAATCAAATGTTGTTTGAAGATGTTTTGGTACCAAATTTGTTGGTGTTGTACTGTATATGAACGTAGTTTGTCCTGACGACTTTGAAATCTCTCTGGAAGGTGCTACAAGAGCCGTTGTTGAACCAAATTCTGACTTATCTGATTTTGGGCCTTTATCTCTGTGTTTTGAACATCATCTATTGGCACATATTGTTGCCACCACTCTTATTCCCAGGAAAGTATCCTTGAGTAGCATCTCTACTCGTGACATGTTTATTCTCTACTGCCTACTTAAGAAGTACCGTATCAATTGGGCATTGTGGTTCAAGGAATATATGTTGGAAAGTGTTGAAGACACTAATGTTACCGCAAGTTTACCATATGGGTTGCTCATCTCGCATATTTTTGTGGATCGCCTCGTAGATCTTTCTATGTTTACACATGTTGTTGTTAATGCTACTTATGACTCTCATACTTTCTCTAGTATGGGGTATGTGCAGGTAGAAAACAAGTGGGTAAAGAAGGACTCTGTAAAGGATAGGTCTGAATCTGTCAAACCCATAAAAATTACTGCGGAGTCGGCTGCCCTATTGTTACAGGACACTGAGGAACTCAAAACTCGCATCCTGGTTGTCGAATGTGGTTTGGAAACTCTTCATGATGTTGTTGAGAAGGTCTTTCACCTACAAATGGATACCAGCACTGATGTCGATAAGTTACACATTGTTATGACTGGTATTAAGCAGGAAGGAATCTCCACAGTCAACAAGTTGACTCTCTCAAGAGTGGAGTCAATTCCTCCAACACCGACCTTGCAGTGACGGTTCAGACCTCATACTCCAGTCTCTCAAGAAATGTGGAACGCTCTTACAACTCCTTATGTGGAAAGGTCATCAACACCCTCAAATACTTTTTGGGTGACTGCTAACTTCTAACCCTAGCCTTTTTTGTTTTTTTTTTTTGAACTATCTTTCAATAGGGTTTGTCCCTATCTCTGTCTTTTGGATTGCATATTGAGGACGCGTTATCCTCCTAACTGCTACTCTGTTATTATCTACTTGTTGTTATTATCATATTTGCCCTGTTTTCTTTTTTATTATGCCAAATGGGGAGATTATTCTGCTCCCACAATTTCCATAAAGGCAGGGGGAACAAATACATACATAGGAGTCTTACAGACAGGGGGAGAGCCAATACATACATAAGAGTCTTACAAACAAGGGAGCTACAAAGGCCAACGAAATCTACATACAGGAACATCAGGGAAGTTTCATTGTCTCTCAGAATATTTTATTAAAATTGTGAACTTAATTGTCATTATCAAAAAGGGGGAGATTGTTAACTCCATAGCATTTGTTGATTTTGATAAACGACACTTAGAAATTCACTCATGCCCTTCGCACACAAAGATATCAAAAAGAAAGCAAACCAAGCAAGCTACCAAAGGAAAGGAAGAATCAACAAACCCCTAGAGCATCTAAAGAAAGAAAGCTATGATTAAAAGATTTCAGAATCAATCAAGCAGATCATGATTGATATGATGAAATCAAGAATCAGAAATCCAGACAAAGATTCAAGCAATCTACCAAAGGAAGGAAGAATCAACAATCCAGTCAAGATTCAAGCAAGCTACCAAAGGAAGGAAGAAAAACAAATCAGGCCAAGAATCGAGTAGATATTCACCAAGAAGAAATCAAAGCGATTATATCATGCACATATCTAATATGGACATGACTCAGCAAATCACATCAATCAATGGATCCCTCAACATCCTTGATTGAGATAAATATCCTTGGGTTTTCCTTACAAGAGCAATAGTCTACCTAAATAAACCACCCTTAGTGTTAGATGTGAAGTACGCACCTCACTTGAACTTGTACTGTTATCTTCTGTCGTCTTTCATAAAAGCTTTGTATTCTCGTGAGTATACTGAAAAAAGAAAAGAGAAAGAAGAAACTGAGTGTAAGTTATACGAATAGAGGTTGTGTCAAAGTAGAAGTTTTGATTTGTACATCAGACATGATTTACAGTTGATATACTTTGTATTGTCCAAGTTCTATTCAAGCTCTTAAGGAAACCCAAGGGGACTGGAAGTAGGCACCACATCGGTGTTCCGAACCAGTATAAAACTCTCTGCGTTGTTTGCTTACTGCTTATCATTACTTTATATTTGTGTTACTAACTTGCAGGAAAGTCGTCTGACCAATACAGGAAGTCGACTGGAGGAATTTTAATTCACCCCCCCCCCCCCCCCCTTCATTCAAAAACAATCAAA